GTGTTTATGCTTTTGACACGCCCACTCTTGTGGCACGCCCACTTTGATTCCGCAGATAACCCCCTCTCCTCAAACCTGCATCACGACCGTCCCCTGCCCTGCCGCCCATCTCGTCTTACCTTAAAAGAGATTTCCGTCGTCATGGTGAAGCCGTGAGTGATGACAGGTTCTTCTTCTGTGGTGCGACCCTTCCAGCAGTCCAGTTCAATGCAGCGGCACCCTGACAAGAGGACCTGTTTGTACATCTCAACCGAAGAGTTTCCTGCAAGCTGACCCGCTGCAAAACACAAGTAGGGAATAAAATAAAATAAAATAAAATAAAATAAAATAAAATAAAGCCCACACACAAGCTTGTTTACCTTTTTAGTTCCTGGAAGGAAGTAAAAGCAACAGAAACGTCTAAAGCAGGGAAATCTCATCACCTCGTCACCATTAGTGAAGCAATTATCACTTCGAATTAGCAGTTTGCTTCTGTGCAACATGAAAAGTCTCAAGGTGGGAGACGGATCTCTGTTCCCACTTCAGTTAGCACTTAGCGTCTTAGTGTTGCTCCACTTTTCACCTCATTTGATGTTTCTTTTTTCTGTGAGTTTTTATTCTTGTCTTTTGATTGAAACTTTTATTCAATTAACCGGGGCCCTTGTTGCAATGTAATGAAAAGCAAAGCAAAAACCAAAATCACAAAAATGGTTAATGTTTTTGTATTTCAGCCACTTCCTTCAGCAGAGGTCACCACAGTGAGAGGACTCACACAAAAGATTTGTCAAATKTTTTATGCCGTATGCTGGCCAGCCAGTGCTCAAACACAAAGCCTCAGAACTTTAAAGGGATCCATGATTAGTTGTAACATTAGACTTTATTTAATAAACATATATTTTAACTGTAAAAATAGACTGTAAGATACTGTAGGCTGTTTAGTTTTTATCATTTTTAAACTAAAAGTTTTAAACTATATTACATGGACGAGGCCATTTTATTTACATGTAAAACATTCTGGGTAAATGATGACGTGGATAGGTCCTCGGTGCGAGGCTGCTAGCGAGCTATATCCACCCTGAAAGTTAATCTTGGAAAATATCTGATGATCAACTCTTTTAAATGAAACCAGAGAGCGTTGACAGAGAGGAGAAGGTAGAAACGACTCAGCCTGTAACTGAAAATATAGATGGAGGACAACAGAGCTGCTTCATGGAAGAAGAACCTCAGCTTAGCCTGTTAGCTTTAGCGTTAGCCCCAGCTCTATCACCATAGATATGTATTAGCACAGCGCTACACATTCTCCTCTCATCACTGAGGTCCTCCATCCACATGACAGAGAGGGGAACACAAAAATGACTCAGCTTGCAACTGAAAATATAGACGGAGGACCTCAGTTTAGCTTGTTTGTCGCGCTAGTGCCGAGCTAATACATATAAGGCAATATAGCGTCTGTGCTAGCGCAAAGGCTAACAGGCTAAGCTGAGGTTCTTCTTCCATGAAGCAGCTCTGTTGTCCTCCATCTATATTTTCAGTTACAGGCTGAGTCATTTCTACCTTCTCCTCTCTGTCAACGCTCTCTGGTTTCATTTAAAAGAGTCGATCATCAGATATTGTCCAAGATTAACCTTCAGGGTGGATATAGCTCGCTCACACTGAGGACCTATCATGTCATCAGTTGGTGAGGTGGTGGCGCAGAGGGTAGAGAAGCAGAGTCTGTTATCGGAAGGTCGCTGGTTCGACTCGCCGCGGACCAACCAGCCCCATTTTGGATCCTTGAGCAAGGCCCTTAACCCCCCAGCTGCTCCCCGGGCGCTGTAATTGGC